ATGGAGTCACCAATAGGAGAGACAATACCTGAACTAAACATTTTATACCACTAAGTAAAAGCCCCCAGAGCCAGGCTACAACTTCTTGTGCTGTTGACCCAAGGGGCCCCATGGAAACTCCTAAACATTCAGGCTATTGCCAAGGTGATTGGTTACTCTTCACAACCTGATGGTAAAGTCCTACTGCTGAAGATAACACTTACTTACATATGACGGTGAACATGGAGATGCTGACCTGGTACCTAACTAGAAACTTCGCCCTTCACAATTAGAGATCGTGGTACTGAAAGTTACTCTGCACACTACGAGAGGAGAAATGCCCTCATCGTATCTCCCAGCTACAGACCTGGGACCTAAAACAGTGACCTGCCTGTGAGATATACTGGTGTGATATTGCCATCAATGTTATGGGACCAGTTAAGCACTTTCTGATTGGATTTAAGGCCCAGTCCATGAGGTGAAACCCATAGCTGATACTGTGAAGATGGCCAAGAACCTGAGACTGGGTAGGTCATAGATCTAGGGGAAAATCTAATCCTATCATTGTGATGAAGGAACAAAACAGTAAAATGACGAATAGTAGCATATTGCCGTACCCACAAAGCTTAACCTCACTCAACACACATTGGAGAAATGTTCTCTTACAGTAGATGGCAACTAACACAGAGACACAGACTAGAGAACATGTGGAAAGTGAGACACTTCAGAGCACTCAGTCCTAAATAGCGTGCCTCCATCCAATCCCTCCCCTCAGTACTCAGGAGCTATGTGGAAGAGACAGAGGAGATGGATGACATCAAGAAAACTGCACCTTCCAGAAACAACAGAACTGAGGCAGGTGCAGAGACTGCAGCAGGCAGACACAAGAGGTTTCAAGCCAGCTGTCAGAAGGGGGAACTGGAAGCGAGCTCCCACCCCTAACCAAGGGTTATCTGCAGTTGATGCCTCCAGGCAAAGGAAACCATCAGTTGTCTCCAACGGATTCTCACCTAGTATATTAACCAGATTTCAGGGAATGACTAATGTCCAGGGGTAGATGGCCAAACACAAGAATGAACTCAGTGGAATTTTGTAGACTTTTGTTTTTTTGTTTGTTTGTTTTTTGTTTGTTTGTTTGTTTTTGTCTCATTTTGCTTTGTTTGGGCTTTTATCGTTTGTTTGTTTGATTTGTTGGTCTTTTCCTTGTTTGTTTTTATTTTGTGTATGTGTATGTTTCTTTTTTTGTTGTTTGTTGCTTGTTCACTTTAAGAGAGAAGTAAGAAGGAAGAGAAGATGGGAGGAAGAGAGAGA